AGCAGTCCGTCCCCAATCCCAGAACTTCGACCGTAACTAGGTCCGGCACTTTCAGCACCTAGGCTTGCCTATGGCTACAAGCGTATGTCAGGTCTATGGACACAAGTGCACGCCGGCCATGTCTACATATAGAAACAAGCATAAACCAGCATTTGTCTACTTATGGACTCATGTATAAACCGGACATGTCTACTTATGAACGCAAGCATACACCGAGCTAGGTCTACTTAAGCGTAAACTGGACCAATACCAAGATATGTACTCAAGAGTACACCGACCCTATACTTATGGACTCAAGTGTAAATCTGACCTATGTTAAAATATGTACTCAAGTGTACACCAATACTATGTATATCTATGGACTCAAGGGTAAACTAGACCTATGTCAACAAATGGACTCAAGCGTAAAATGGGCCCATATATGCTTATTGGCACTAGCATAATACTTTCCTATGTCTACACATGGACTCAAATCCGTCTCGCGTTTACATGTAGAAAAATATACGGATCTATCTATCGCTCTCTCCGTCTCTCTCTCTCTCTCTCTCTCTCTATACACACACACACAACATATATATATATATATATATATATATATATATATATATATATATATCAAATATGTTGTGTAGTTCAATTTATATTACAATGAATCATTGATACAAAAAGTAGATTAGTAAAGTTAATGATATAAAATGGCGAAATCCTTTCGCAAACAAAATTTTTAAAGTTGCAGTAACCTACGAACCACTCGATGAATGTTATGATCCTTGTTTTTAATAAACTACAAGCTGTATAAGGTCTTTTTTTTAATCTGCAAGTACTTTCAACAGGACATTCAGTCATCCTCAGGCATGGAAATTATTTTGTTTTTAGTAAAATCCAGGTAGCATCAAATATGAAATATTTAAATGCGAATCGAAATATGTACAGTTAAAAGTACTTTTTGCATGAATGATTCATTGTAATACATATATATATATATATATATATATATATATATATATATATATATATATATATATGCTTGTAAGAACTAGACTTCTTCCGTTCCGAAGATTATATGAGGTTTGATAATAAGCTAAATAGATTTATCGAATATCTGGTTTGGATGAGCATTTCAACGCGTACCTCACTAGTCTATCATCTGTAAAGGCACTTTGGATTGGGAACTAGGCCCCACATAAACAGCCGGAATTACATAAAATGTCGACCACAGGAGAAGTTATCTTGAAGTGCATATGATATCATTAATATACACAAATATTTCATCAGTATTAAAATAATGAAAATATCATAATTTTTTAAACATTATTTTCGCGAGTGTGTGTGTGTGGCTTCGTTCCGAATAGCCGTTACACATGACGTCACGCTAGACCATTTCAAATGCGTAGCATTCTAAAGAATACCAGGATGTAGACAAAGTAATTCTAACTACCACACAGACATCACCTCCGTTCTTAATAATGACTGCGAAAGTCGAAAGTAACAAAATATGAACTTCGGACAGATTCTCCACAACATTGTGCACAATATTTTACACCTCATTCGGAAAGTGTAAAAAATAAAATAAATAAAAAAAAATTAAACAGACGGACCTTGTCCGTTATTTTGAATAAAACTTGTTTGGGATGAATACTTGCTGCCTAAATATATATATATATATATATATATATATATATATATATATATATATATATATATATATATATCGTGTTAATGTATGGTATATTTAAGAGATAAAAAGTGCTCAATATCAGAGATAGATCGTGTGTAAATATAACATTGATGTTAAAACTCAGAGGCGATAGACTGTTTCCTACTAAACCCAATCAGGTGACCTGATAATTGTGTTTAACATAAAAGTGTAGTGGCATCTGTGTTTTGTCTTAAATGTTCATTTTATATTTATATTTACAGACACATACACACACGCACGCGCAAACACACACATACACACACACACATATATATATATATATATATATATATATATATATATATATATATATATTATATGTATATTTGATTTCACTTACAGATGGATGTGTTTTGCCAGGTCACTTTGCTCAAGACACGCTACACATGAATCTAGACCTCTCCGGATTTCAACCTAAATATGTAAAGGGAACTAGTTAGGTGCCCATCTGCTTAACGATTACGATTACACCCAGTTCGAGGAGTGGTCACGAGGATAATGATGATAGTGATTATGATGGTTAAAGTTCAGGAATGTCAACAAGGAAAAAAAAAACAAAAAAAAGTGCAAAGTCCGTGTTCCCTGTCTCCCTATTTCCTTTATCTCCCAGTAGCGTATATAGAGAGCCCACAAAAGAAGCAATGACACATTGTCTGAAGATCGCTTAAGGCATGAAACTACGAGCCACAAGGAAGTATTAATTCCTATATACGCGTCCCCTCTATGTATGTGCCTGTGTTCTGAACGGGCTTATCTAAATGACGTCGTTTAAATTTATTTACATATGTCGCTCAAGTAGTCTCTTACCATATCACTAATCTTTCTTGCCACTGTTGAGAGTTTGACAGATGTTCTCTTTAGCCGCCCCTATATATTTTATAAAGTTTATATTTCTCATCTCTGCATTTAGCCGAAGTGGGAATTAGTCATGTATCACTCGATACTGCTTTGAAGTGAAAATACATCTATAACCCTGACATTTTTGTTACTTCACTGCCATTATTTTTATCGATTCCAGTTTATCAGTTATGTACATATTTGACGGCTTTCAAATATCTTATGCGGACATGAAATTTAGAGATGGCTATCTTAAAACAAAATCTACAAATCTCTCTCTAGGATTCGACTATACGCTGAATATGACGATGTAAACCTATGGGTTATCTTTTCTTTTGGATCCTCTGAGGAAGTCGGTTTGCTTCATTTGGCTGTCATTGTAAGCCTGTGAGGCCTGGGTATTCAGCCAAACAGGCCTCTGAAATCTTGAACGATTCCATCAAACGAAACTTCGTCAAATCGTACGGATCACGCAGTGCTACCGGATCACGAACAACGACGTTCTTTTCCGCGTAAAGATGGAAAGCATAGCAACTATCATGTCTCGCCACCGGTTTGGATGGACCGGACACCTTAACTGAATGCCAGACATCCGCCTTCTCGACGCTTTCATTTGGCAAGAAACTGCATGGGGATCCACGTCGCCGCTTCAAGGATCAGCTCAAAAACTATCTTGCTGAGGACAGAAATCGATCCAGTCAAGAACAGTTCACGAAAAAACAACATACTTCGAAAACACCAGAAGTATGACGATAAACTACAGCCGCCAAAAAGAACAGGCAGTCCATTGCATTATTCTGCATTTAATGTCATTATGAACCCAATCGTGAGAAGGAGGGGAGTGGTGACCGTAGCGGAGGCGAAAAATGCGCTAAGTGAATTAACTGATAAATGAAGTTTTATTGACCAAAAATACAGAACAATTGTTTAATCGTTTTTAATTTTATACGTATTATCACATCAAAAACAATATGATTTACTATGATTAACACACTATTTAACATTTACAAAACGGTCCTCCTTCATGTTTAATGCAAAGCTAAACACTATCAGCAACACTTCTACAAACCATTTGACAAATTTGTTTTAAATTAGGAATTGTTTTCGGTTAGAGTCTGTAAACAAGATGTTTCAATACACCCCAGAACAAAACATCTGGCTGTGTTAGGTCAGGTAAATCGCGATGGCTTCTCAATTGCTCCACATTGTCCTATCCACCTCATTTTGAACAAAAGGGCGTTACATTTACGGCATTCTGTATTATTGCACTTTTTGTAATTAATTCACCCCAAGCAAGGTGATAAATCCACTGAGACGCAAAGGGTTACTGAGAGGGAAAGACAATGATAAGACTTTAGTGAGGAGAAAGGACAATAAAAGAACAGGTATCAAGAAGACGGAAGATGGCGATTGACATTGCGTTTAATTTTATGAAGATGAAGAGTGGCATCGAAAAAAGAAGCCGGAAGTGTTTCACAGGCAAGACGTACGAGAGAAGAAGCTAATAGAATAGAAGTTACGGTTGTATCTAACTATTTCAACAATAAAGCGATGAAACCTATTTGCCAATCTAGTAGGACGTTTAAATTCATGTGGAAGAGGGTCGTTACATATACCGCAGTCTGCTTTATTTCACTTTTTCACCCCTAGTAAGATGGTAAGCGAAAAACCAAATACATCACTCAAAGAAGGGACGTTGTAATCTCATTTACAACGGTGGAACCGTCAAGGCATCAAGGAATCAAGGCATCAAGGAACCGACAAGGCATCAAGGAACCGTCAAGGCAGCAAGGAACTATCAATGCATCAATGAACCGACAAGGCATCAAGGAACCGTCAAAGCAGCAAGGAACCGTCAAGTCATCAAGGAACTATCAACGCATCAATAAACCGACAAGGCATCAAGGAACCCTCAGGGCATCAAGGAACAGTCAAGTTATCAAGGAACCGTCAAGGCATCAAGGAACTATCATCGCATCAAGGAACCGTCAAGGCATCAAGGAACTATCAACGCATCAAGGCACAATCAACGCATCAAGGAACCGTCAAGGTATCAATGAACCGTCAAGGCATCAAGGACTATCAACGCATCAAGAAACCGACAAGGCATCAATGAACCGTCAGGGCATCAAGGAACTGCCAAGGCATCAATGAACTATCAACGCATTAAGGAACCGTCAAGGCATCAAGGAACCGTCAAAGCATCAAGGAACCGTCAAAGCATCAAGGAACTATCAACGCATCAAGGAACCGTCAAGTTATCAATGAACCGTCAAGGTATCAATGAACCGTCAAGGCATCAAGGACTATCAAGGCATCAAGGAACCGGCCAGGCATCAAGGAACCGTCAAGGCATCAAGGAACTATCAACGCATCAATGAGCCGACAATGCATCAAGGTACTTTAAAGGAATCGTCCAAGCATCAATGAACCGTCAAGGCATCAAGGAACCGTCAAGGCATCAATGAACCGCCAAGGCATCAAGGAACCGACCAGGCATCAAGGAACCGTCAAAGCATCAAGGAACCGTCAAAGAATCAAGGAACTATCAACGTATCAAGGAATCGTCAAGGCATCAATGAACCGTCAAGCCATCAAGGAACTATCAACGCATCAAGAAACCGACACGGCATCAAGGAACAGTCAGGGCATCAAGGAACTGCCAAGGCATCAATGAACTATCAACGCATCAAGGAACCGTCAAGGCATCAAGGGTCTATCAACGCATCAAGGAACCGTCAAGTCATCAAGGAACTATCAACGCATCAATAAACCGCCAAGGCATCATAGAACCGACAAGGCATCAATGAACCGTCAAGGCATCAATGAACTATCAACGCATCAAGGAACCGTCAAGGCATCAAGGAACCGTTAGTGCATCAAGGAACCGACAAGGCATCTAGGAACCGTCAAAGCATCTAGGAACCGTCAAAGCATCAAGGAACTATCAACCCATCAAGGAACCGTCATGGTATCAATGAACCGTCAAGGCATCAAGGACTATCAACGCATCAAGAAACCGACAAGGCATCAATGAACCATCAGGGCATCAAGGAACTGCCAAGGCATCCATGAACTATCAACGCATTAAGGAACCGTCAATGCATCAAGGAACCCTCAAGGCATCAAGGAACTATCAACGCATCAAGGAACCGTCAAGGCATCAAGGAACTATCAACGCATCAATAAACCGCCAAGGCATCAAGGCACAGTCAAGGCATCAAGGAACCGTCAGGGCATCAAGGAACCGACAAGGCATCAAGGAACCGCCAAGGCATCAAGGAACCGTCAGGGCATCAAGGAACCGCCAAGGCAACAAGGAACCGTCAAGGCATCAATGAACTATCAACGCATCAAGGAACCGTCAAGGCATCAAGTAACCGTCAGGGCATCAAGGAACCGTCAAGACATCAAGGCACTGTCAACGCATCAATGCACCAACAAGGCATCAAGGAACCTTCAAAGCATCAAGGAACCGTCAAGGCATCAAGGAACTATCAACGCATCATGGAACCGTCAAGACATCAAAGAACCGTCAAGGCATAAAGGAACCTTCAAGGCATCTAGGAACCGTCAAGGCATCAAGGAACCGTCAAGGCATCAAGGAACCGTCAAGGCATCAAGGAACTCTCAACGCATTAGGAACCGTCAAGGCCTCAAGGAACTATCAACGCATCAATGAACCGCCAGGCATCAAGGAAATGTCAAGGCATCAATTAACCGCCAAGGCATCAAGGAACCGACCAGGCATCAAGGAACCGACAAGGCATCAAGGAACCGTCAGGGCATCAAAGAACCGACAAGGCATCAAGAAACCGTCAAGGCATCAAGGAACCGTCAACGCATCAATGAACTGTCAAGGCATCGTACCATTCTGTCTTGAATGTCACCATGAAACACAATTGTGAGATGTAGGGGAGTGGTGACCACAACGGTGGCGCAAAATGCGCTACCTGAATAAATGTTGGCGATGCTTTGTTAACAGAAACGCAGACAGCACAATACAAGATTGTGTCCGCCAATAATATTTCCTGGTAGGTTTCTTGTTCGCTTAGTATCGCCTCGCTGTTATACGTTAAATATATCCGGCGAGAAAATGGATCTTCTTGCTTGCCTTCAAAATACACTTGCTATTTATTAACTTAGCCAAGATAAGACCTGCTGATTATATCTGTACAAAGAGAATAGGAATAAAACGAAAATCCGAGACTAAACACCGTGTCTTGCAATGAAGATAAACGAGTATTAATCTGCGGAGGGGGTCTCCGATTCTGTCGACTCGCTGTGAGTTGAGAAGTGCAAAAGATTAATGACACAGTCTACAAGAAACAGGTGAACAGCGCACACATAAAAATAACATCATTGAATAAAACTTCACTGTTTTAGTCTCTAGAACTATGATTAAATAAGAGGTGAAACCAACGAGAACATACACTCAACTGACGAAACAGACAGTACATACATGCAAAACAAATATAAGCCGCTAATTTTAATGGATTTTATTTGCCCTTACTGACAATGTCAGTGGCTGTAAATTTAGTCTATCAGTTGGACAAGCAGCGCTATTGTATACGAAAAGAAAAAAACTGCTCGAGAAATGAAATTCTAACCAGATATATCGTGGCTATTTCTTAGACTTAATCAATTAAGCCCGCCTAATTAGATAGGGATCATACCCATAGTATTCAGGCAATGACTTTCATTTTGTCAGGTTGTGTTATTAACCATTGTCACTCTGTATGTGACATCGTTTGCTGTACAAAAGTTTATCCTGCTACTGAAGGCGATTCTGATCCCTGAACAATAGTGAGTTTGACTTACATAGTTGTGATATCATATCCTGCTATGGTAACAGAAAACAACTGTGAGTGAAGTTAAGAATAAGGAAACTGCAATTGAGAGGACTTAAAAAAAAACGAATGCAGTGGCAATGGAAGTAATATTACTAACGCAGAGGCGTAAAGATTAAGAAACATAGGTTAATATTAATTGAGGCGTAACGTAAAATGACAGGTGCAGTCAAAAAAAAAAACGAAAGACATTTTCGGGGGAAAATCATTTTTTGCAAAATGGTATTCATTAGACATTACTCGATACACGTGATTTGTGAGAATCGAAAAGTATTGATTTTTTTTCTTTTTTTTTATTTTCGTTAGGACTCATGTTCGAAATATAAAAGCAATGCCAAATAGATCCCTGATATTTTAAAGAGTTATCTATACTTATGTTTATTTACTAATGACAATTTCGAAACTGTGATTGCGTCCTTGTTAACTGCGTACGACTGATGTATTTTTCTCGATTCATAATAGTACGCAGTCATCAATGATGCAAACACATTCCAACGGACACATTATCCAACCTTATAAAAACTGTATTTCTGATATTGAACACTCTTCCCCGTGAACAAAGAATCTTTAAATATAATAACACACACACACACACACACACACACACACACAACAAACAAACAAACAAAAACACACACGTATAATTATATTTTAATATATTAATTTAGGGGCAGTGTGAAAAACTTTGACGTGAGATGCACAGAAGTCAAGACTCCATTCATGTTCACAGGTCTAACGCGAAGAAAAGCACAAAGAAACCGACCAAAGAACGGCGGGAGAGTTTAGAGAAAGAACTAAATTTTCTCTCTTGTATCCCCGTTACTACTACTGAGCACACACACACGTACTGACACTTTCATAGAAACGATGACCCACCCACCCAAATTTAAGTTATATTTGTATTTGAAAGAAACATATAATAACATTTCACTTTTCCTAACATACGCACATAAATTATATTTATTTATATCTTCCTAATTGGCCATAAAAAGGAAATAAAATACAGTTAACTTCGTAAAACAAATATTCAACATGACTAATGTTGCCCATAACTCATGTCTGTCTTTCATAATTTTTATTTGCCTAACGTTCTTTTTTTTCACTTCAAAAATAAATATAACTTGAATTTGGGCCGGTGGGTCATAGTTACTTTGCAGACTTCCCGTCAATTGCTACACAGGAAAAAAAATTACTTGGATTTAACGAAAATTACATACAATAATACATATTACTTATAATACAATCTTTCTTGCCTTCAATTTTGACGGCATGGTTACATGAATATACATACATGCATACATACATACAGACATACATACATACATATATATATATATATATATATATATATATATATATATATATATATATATATATATATATATATATCTGGTTCAAACTCCTTCCTGGTATTATAAATAGGATTAGAGTTTTGTTGTTTAAGATTGGGTTTCCGGTTCTTGTTCCTAAAGTTTTTTCTATTTTTTCATTTCTTTTCAACAAATACAAGGATGTAGTCAAGTAAGTCTTGCCTAGCAAAATGTCACCACATTGGTTCTTGCCCAAAGTACTTGAGATAAACAGCATAAACATGATTTTTCATCAATTTATGAATACTTGCTGCCTAAATATAACTATATATACAGGGTGTTGCATCAAAATCTGTCACTTGACAAAAAGTAAACGAAATAGTTGTATCAGCAGATACCCGACAGTTTGACAACTAACTAATGTTTTTTCTTTCTAACCTTTTACAGGATGGAATATGAGCGCAGAGCAGCGGTAGTAGCTTCTTTTCGCGTCAGGAAGAAGCCTGTGGAAGTGATGGCCTGGATTGGGTTCAAGAGGACCATGGTCATGGACATTTGGAAGAAGTGGAAGGCGCGTGAGAACAAGGACGAATTTACTGCCAAAGGAAAGGTCCATAATGCTCGTTCTTCGGCTGTTAGGACCGACGAGTTCGTCGCCTCCGATCAAGTCGACGATCAAGAAGGACATTGGTTACTCCTCCTACCGCAAGTCTCACCGCATGCTCATCACGAATGCCTCGAAGGACTCGAGGAAGGTCAACGCGGCGGCTTTGCTGAACGAGCTCAAGCACGTGTCCGCCGGGATGCTGAGGTTCTTCTCTGATGAAAAGAATTTCATCCAGGACCAGAGAAGCAACAAGCAGAACAACAGGTGGATCTACAAAGACATCGAGCAGGTACCCGTTGTGAAGCATACGAAGTTTCCCTCCTCCGTCATTGGCGTCATCGCCAGCGAGGGGGGACGTCATGCTTCCGGTCTTCATTCAAAAGAGCCAAAGAGTCACCGCTGAGATCTACCAGGTGGTGCTGAGGGGCATGGTGAAGCCCTGGATGGATGAGATCGCCTTCCAGCAGGACTCCGCTCCAAGTCGTGGCTGCTCAACAATGTTCCTCACCACTGGTCACCGGACTTGTGGCCGCCTTCCTCACTGGACTGCAGCCCCTTTGACTATTTCTTCTAGATACCAACGAGCAACAAGACCAACAAGCACGCCCGCAACACAGTCGACTGTCAGAAGACTGCCATCCTGGAGGTGTTCGCCGCTATGGACAAGGACATGGTCGCCAACTAATTTCCCGCCCGCCTTGATATGGTCGTTGCCACCGCCAGCGGTTACATTGAAAAATAATGTAGTATGTAACTCTAACTGTTGCTAAATAAACTCTCTGGTTATCTGCATATAAAACTTTTGTTTTTATTGCCTATTTTGTTTTCTTTTTGTCAAGTATCGGATTTTGCTGCAACACACACACTATCTCTCTCTCTCTCTCTCTCTCTCTCTATATATATATATATATATATATATATATATATATATTTTTTCCTTACGCGCTATCTCTGATATTGAGCACTTTATACCATAAATATAGCACACCTTAAAACTATATTTCTTCATATATATATATATATATATATATATATATATATATTCTGCCGTATACTATATATATATTCCAAGGAACCGACAGCCAGATACCAACACATGTATTTGATTATAGTGATGAAGGCTTTGTACAGGACCATCCACACTTTTTGAAGGGACGAATACAGAGACCTGGTTCACTAGGCGCTACATGGTCCCCAGACGACACTCGGTTTTGATTTCAGAGTTGTCCTTCTCTTAGACCACTTGTCATCCAATGCTATAGAACCTAGTGTATATATATATATATATATATATATATATATATATATATATATATATATATATATATATGTTCAAAAGGCTGTGGTGAAATAATTTATTACATGGAACGTTAAAGTCTGTTTTTATTTAAATTATTTGCTCTGGATTTACATTGAGCTCTCTGGATTTTATCCTCCTTCGGTCTACCCATACGGATTACCTAGTTTTCCATAAACTGACTATATATATATATATATATATATATATATATATATATATATAAACACACACATACATATATATATTTTACATACGCGCTATCTCTAATATTGAACACTTTATGCCATAAATATAGCACACTTTTAAACTATATTTCTTCATATATATATATATATATATATATATATATATATATATATATATATATATATATATTAAAAGGGCTGTGGTGAAATAATTTATTAAATGGAACCTTAAAGTGGTCTGTTTTTATTTAAATTATATCTCTGGATTTACATTGAACTTTCTGGATTTTATCCTACTTGGGTCTACCCATACTGATTACCTAGTTTTCCATAAACTAATTATATTTATATATATGTATATATATATATATATATATATTAAAAGCAACATGAAAAAGTCGCTACATAATTGCAGTCATGTTTCAACAGC